CTCTACCCGAATTTCACGTGTGTCCTAGGACACATCCAAAGTAACCTACCTCTGCCAATGGTGTCTACATACAATGGTTTAAGAGTTTAACATTTGTGACTAAGATATTATCTATACTAAACATTATTATGAGTTATCTTATCTCAATAACATGACTCAACTATCTCAAATGCAAACTATTTTATATTATAGATCATATACTTATTTACTAGTCCCACGATCTTATTCCCATGAATTTTTCTGGTATTAAAAGCTTGGAATTCTAGTTGGTTAAATGATTATTGTTGCAAATTATCTACAAATATATTAAAATTGCAGGGCATGGATTAATTGTGATAATATGAGAAGAGATTGGGATGGTCATGATAAAGAACAAACATATGAAAACGATGAGAGCTTTTTCATTGGAAAATGGGAACGAAGAGAGTGGGGAAGAAATAGCGGGGAGCCAAAAGTTTAGGATTTGTTGGAGGTAAAATTTTAGATTTTGGAGCCAAAATTTTCGGTAGTGGAAATATAGAATTGTGGGGCGGGAGATTGCTTGTGAGAATTTATGGGAAAGCAATTTTAAGGAGCCTCAATTTAATAATAATCCATTTAAAGGTGTTCTTTCATCTTTTTTGGTCATCACAAATCTGTATCTATGTTTTATTAGGGATGCATATTTTCTTCTATTCAAATGTGTTTGTTAGAACATAATGGAACCGTAAATTGTTTTATGGTTCAATTTTTTTTAATTCATCTTGATTTTTATCTCAAATTTAGAAAGACAAATTGTCACATCATTCACGGTAGTTAATCATGTGTAACAATTAGTTACGAGAAATGAAGATTAAAATGTTGTTAAATCAATTTCCGTTATTAGAACTGTACAATCAAGTATAATAATTTGCTTCATAACTATTAGTATACTTTTTAGTATAGAGAAATTTCCTGTGATTAAGATTTCGTGACTAAATATTCATTGCATATTTGAATTGTGTGTCATCTCTTAGATGTATGCATGTCAAACACACATATAACATAGATATCACTAACCAAAAACCAGACAGCAGAGGTAGATCAACATGGAGGAGGAAAAGGAGAGTCACTGCTACTCTCAACCGGGCGAGGCACCACCTGCAGTAGCAGTTACTCAATAGGCCACATTCAAATTCACCTTCATCTACATACCCCGCATCCAGCAGCAGTTCCCACGGCTGCTGGTGAAGTAGAAAGGCCTTGGAAGTGTCAGGTTGAACACATCATGCCCACCTCTCGTTATGTTCATGATGAACCCTTCCTCACTACAACAGTCGTAGCCTTCACCTCCAGCATATCGTACAAAGTGTTGTTGAACCCGAAATCTGTAAGTTGTGAAAGGTCATCTCATAAAAAGATTTGTACAGGCATAGCGTGAGTAGTTTGATCATCACGCAAGTATTGGGTTGGAAATGATTGATACAGTTCGCTTACCTTTTAGCTTGAGCAAGGCAGTTATACCTGCTGGGAGTCACTTTTCCTGCAATAGCAGCAAGAAGACGAGAAGCCCAAAAAACTGTCAATTTCACGTGATGGTAAAACTCGTCTATTGAGTTACGCATCATGAACACAAACTGAAGAAACTCACGTAGTGGCCGTGATCCACTTCATAATTTTCTCCACAAGTTTCTGTAATCCTTACTAAAGAAAGCCCCCAAGGCAGAAAAACTAGTAAAATGGACAATGATGGAGGTGGTAATGAATGAGAAGTTTGGAGGAGTATGTGATATTCATTCCCCAGGACCAGAAACAACCCGGTAAAGAAAAAAAATGAGATTCAGTATCATTTCTTTCACCCCAACAAGATAAACTGCTGAACACAATCAGAAGAAAACACACCCCTCTTAGGAGACGGACAAGCTATGATTCCAGTGGAGATTTCTCACATTCGGTTCTGATTTCACATTCAGCTCCACATGATGATTGATTAGTGCTTGATATTAGTGGAACCACCACCTGAGCTCCCTTTTTTCTCCAGTAATACCCGCCCCGAAAGTTGATGATGTCACTCACAGTATTCCCAAATAGAACTCTTTTATGCTGTTGCGCAATGAGATTAAAATCGTAAGTTACCTATGCCTCAAAGCATAAGCCTTTCTCCTCCAGGGGAAACAAAGGAATAAAGTTCCTAGCTAGTTGCAACATGATGCACTCCTTTTCTATCTCCTGACCGTATGGGGATTACTTTTCTCTTACTATTGCCTTTCCAAGACATTATGATAAAGAGAGGAGTATCGCCAAATACGAAAGGAAAATAACAAAGTTGATAACTTATCCAAATCCAGGCTCTAACTAAACTGGCCACCACAAAGGGAATTATTGAAGACATGCAACTATACTTCTGGAAAGTTGTCCTCTAAAGACTACAATGAAAGCCAAACTATAACCTAGTGCAAATAAATTGGACGGTTAAATCATTTTCACATTTTGGTAGCAGCACTTCTGTGGTCTATGATGTTCTGAGGAAGTTAATACACAACAACTGGATAGACTAAGGAATCATCGTTACCTCAATGAAGAAATCATGGAGCACAAGTCTGAGAGAGCCGGAATAACACAGTGATTGAATTTTCTCAAGTGTTAGAAACAAAGTTTCTAAGGGGATTCGTATTGGATGATATTTGGGAATTTAGGGATTTAGAAGATAGAATTAGGGATTTGGAAGAAGAATTGGAGAGAATGGCCGGCGGCCGGATCAGGGAGAGAAGATAGGTCGAGAGAATTTGGGAGAGAATAGGGTTTAGGGATTTTCTTAATATGCTTCTTATTGATTCTGAATGGAAGTTCAAAGTACATATATATAGGAAATAGTGGAAAATCCTAACAATAAACCTAATTCTATTAAATGACTATTAACCTTAATAAGACTTACCCTAATAATAATTAAAATAATAAATATAGAAACCCTAGATAAATCGGTTTCTAACATCTCCTCCCCCTTCAGACCAACCTTGCCCTCAAGGTTGATGGACTCGACCCATCTCTTCACATCTCCCGCGCAATCCGCGTTTTGTCTTCTCCACTCCTTGCGCTTTCTTTTCTTCCAATCACGCTCTAACTCTTCACTTAGACTTCCTGAACCGACATGGTTGTTTCGATCCCACTCTTCAAATTTCACTTCCATGGACCCATGATTTGCTTCCTTATCCGAGAAGCCGTCTTTAAGCACCAATCCAGCAAGATCCTCGAACTTAAACAATTCTGTAGTCATCGCCCTCCCGAGACTCAAGGAACTCAAGGATTCGTTCTTGTTCAAGAACCCGTCCTTGAGTACCATTTGATCTAGGCCTTCATACATTGTTCTTGGGGCAACCCCATCACTTTGATTCGTTGCTTCTTCCATTAATTTTGTGCCTTGCTTTCTTGGAAGCCCACCAAATAAGCTTTCAAACTCATTTTCTTTTTCCTCCAAGCCCACCTTCATCAAAACACAATTTCGATTGGGATCAAGCACTTCGTGCAGACGTGGCCCAATAGTCTTATTCTGCGGCCTAGAGACTGGTACAAGAATCTGACTCCTTGCAAACTTCAGCCTATACTCCAGGTTCTCGTCGGCCCCTTCCTTTCTCAACTGCGGCCCGCGACTTGACCCAAACAGAGCCCAAGTAACAAAATTTTCAGCCCTAATCAACTGGTTCAGTCGGCCCAGAATGAGCCCACCATTCCTCTTCCAAGTCGGCCCGTGATAGAGATCCACCTCAGCTTGGCGTTGGACCCCATTGACCGAAGTAGCTCGGCCCAACGGAAATAACGAGCCCACTTCTATCTGATGCTGGGTCGTTTGGGCAAGAGGCAGCAGAGGGTTTGCGAGCCAAAGTAACTCACCGCCGCCAACCTCCTGCGTCACCTTCGTCATCCTTGGCGGGCAGAGCACTCCACTGCCCCACCGCATCTCTTCTTTTTCCCTTCCATCGCCGAGTCTTCCTTCACCGGCGGCGATGGCCTCCTCAGTTGACGGAAGGACAGACTCAACCTATCTTTTTCTCAATATATTGCTGTGGCCACTAATTCTTCAGGTCCATTCCACTAGCCCATGTGACTTGATAATTTTGGCCCAACCCCATTTAGAAGGATACATGTCAATCTGCTCATGTAAGGCCCAAGCATTGGCTTTTGTACCAAAGCCTCGTTCGAACCAAAGAATGGTCCACAAACTGGTTCTGGATCGGTCCACTCCCTTCCAAATTTCAGCCTGTGCTCAGGCCCTGCATTTGGGCTCTGCTCTCTTGAAAAACCAGCCTCTGACCCATTAGGCCAACATTCAATTTCCTTCAGGTCCACTTCTTTCAAGGACCAGCACATGCAGACTCTTCTTTCCAGTTCCTCCACCCAACATTCCACTCCTCCCGTTCCAAGCAAGAAACCAAGTCCTGGCCCTCTTTGTTGATCAGCTTCCGCGGACCGCTCGGCCCACTTCTTTCCTCCACACGGCCGGGTCAACAACTCCTGTCGGCCCACCGGAATCCCCACTAGCTCACTCCTCCGGCTCAGGTTGCGGGCCAGCCCATCTCGACCCGAAAGGGTGGCCTCCTGTCTAGGTTTCACGAACAGAAGGACGCCGCCACCCTCCTTTTCTTCGTTCGGCGTGAATCGCGTTGCCACCCGCCCTCTCACGACTAGCAACGTCGATAGCTTCTTCTCCGACATGTCCTCCGGCGTCGAGTTGCTTCCTCGACAGCTAGGCAGATTCTCCGCTGCTTTCTCGGGCGACAAGTGACTCTTCACCTTCTTTGGAAGTTCAACTCGACAATCAGTCGCCCGCCCCAAATTTGCCAACACTCGCCGCATCTCCCGCGCGATTCGCGCTATTTATGGCGAAGCTCGACAACCCGACTCCCTCTTCCTGCCCGAAACCTCCCCAATCGGACTCCCATTCGTCATCTTCCGCCCCGCCATCCAGTCTGTCGTCGCCGTGTTTGAAGTAATTGTAAATTTCTACTCCGGCGGACCCTCCTTCATCGACAGCCGGCCGAAGGATCCAATCTTCTTCGTCTTTGTTGGTGGACCTTCCCTCAGCCCAGCCTTAATCTTGTCTTGCCTTTGCTCGACGGCGGAACGGAAACTGCAGCCTGTCGTCGCGTTTCGCGTGCGATTCGGCGCTCAGACGCATCAATCTAGCGACGCGATGTCGTCATCACTTCCCGTCGTCGGTCGCAGGTAGGCGATGGTGATTTTCCATCGGGCTCCTTCTTCCTGAATATCCAGTTCGCCACTTGGTTCAGCACTGATCTCCTCTCCGACCCTTCAGTCTGGGATTCTTCTCCATGAACGATTAAGCTCTCCTTGTCTGGAACAAGAACAGAAGAGGAGAGATCTCCTTCTTCTTTGGTCACGACCACACAAAGAGCCTTTTCAAACTTGCTATGGTTCCTCACCCTGGATGATTGTTCGCTTGCTACAAGCGGTGTTGGTGGTGCCGCCGCAGTGATGGTGGCCGCTGCTGATGAGCCGTCGTGGATGGGTGTGGCGGTAATAGCCAAAAGCAGCTGCTTCTCGTTCTTGTTGCTCTTCTCGACGCCGTCATCCGCCGCAGAGCTTATCGGAGACGGCTGCTCGTCGGGTCCGCCAACACCTGTGGGCGGCTGCTGCCTCTCCGTAGCGTCATTACCGCCGTCCTTCGCGTCTGCTTTCTCACGCCGCAACGCGTATGATTTCCAGTACTCCACGATCTTCCATAATCGCTCCTGCTTTTGAGCCCACGTTAGCTCCGATATATCGGTTGAACTCATCTGGATTTGATCAGATAGGAAGCTATCCCTGAAAGAGTTTTGATGAACTCGTCTTCCGAAACCGGGCTCTGATACCAGATGTTAGAAACAAAGTTTCTAACAGGATTCGTATTGGGTGATATTTGGGAATTTAGGGATTGAGAAGATAGAATTAGGGATTTGGAAGAAGAATTGGGGAAGAATTGGAGAGAATGGCTGGCGGCCGGATCAGGGAGAGAAGATAGGTCGAGAGAATTTGGGAGAGAATAGAGTTTAGAGATTTTCTTAATATGCTTCTTATTGATTCTGAATGGAAGTTCAAAGTACATATATATAGGAAATAGTGGAAAACCCTAACAATAAACCTAATTCTATTAAATGACTACTAACCTTAATAAGACTAACCCTAATAATAATTAAAATAATAAATATAGAAACCCTAGATAAATCGGTTTCTAACATCAAGCTTCTCGTCCACCTTGCGCATAAACTTCCATTTTCTCAAAATCTCAGTCTCTCAACTGTTCTATTCAATTCCTACCAGAGCACGTGAGCCATGGCGAACAAACGGTACCGGGGCTGGTCATCCAGCAATCTCTCCTGCATTGCATAGCTGGTCGCGGTGTCGACCTCTTTGCCTTCCATTCGTCGAAACCCTACAACTCGCAACTTCTTTCGTTGCATAATCAACATATTCTAGAATGAGGATTTGACACTCCAGCTTGAGACCTTCATCACAGAAAACCCTAACCCCATACTACTAAACTCGTTCGCCGCAGCCAAGAAGCTGAACGATCGCGCCTCCATGCTTGTACAGTTGTACTAGTCAACAAGCTGAAAATCGGCGGAGATTCTCGAATTGCACCTCCTAATTGGAGTCAGATAAATCACGGAGTATGAAGGGAGAAGGAGAAATGGGGTATGATACTCGTTTCTTTTCATTTCTTTTATTTTTATGTGAAAGTGTTTGCCGTAGCATGAAAATGATGAAGATAGTGAACCAATTCAATGGAGGCACTAGAGATTGGCTTGGCGAACGACAAGTCGACGGAGTGGGAGACTAAGAAAGTTGGCGTTCAGTTTTGGGTTAACAAATTAGAAAATTGATTTGAATTTCTAAGAAATTAATGGAAAATAAATAACAAGAGATAGAGAAATGAGAAATTGAGAAGATCGAATCATGGCTTCTCCGTTACTACGGGCAACTGGTAGTTTGGGCCAGTTCGGCAGTTCCTATGTCTATCGAGCTGATTTAATAAAACAAGTCTCGTCATTCCTACCTGGACCAATCGGAAACAACGGCACTGTAGTATTGGCCTCAAATAAATAAAGTTCTATTTTTATAAGAAGCCTACAAATTAGCCTAATTGCTTATAAGTTGTAACTAAAACTTAACTTCTTGTATTTGATGCATGCCCTTGAATTGTGAGATCCTTTGTTGGCGGGCTACCAGCACAGGCCCATAGTCAAGCATGTTCAAGGTTATAGAAAGAACAATAATAAGATTATCATGGTAATTTATAAGGATGACGAAGAGGCGGACCGTGTTAAAGAACAGGGTCGCCGAGCTCAATGAGTCTTTTGAGCTACAACTGTCGGGGACTCAGGAATACCCCATCAGTTGAAAAACTAAAAACGCTACTACGTCAGACGAATCCTGATGTGGTGTTTCTAATGGAAACACGACAATATGAAGAAGAATGGAAGAAGAAAATCAAAGTATTTGGTTATCATGAAGGCAAAGGAGTTGCAGCAGCAGAAAACAGGGCAGGTGGTCTTCTAATGTTGTGGAAAGAGGAGGTTGAAGTGAAAGTTAAAGATTGTGATTTACACTTCATAGACGTGCAAATTAGAATGCCATGCTCCCAAGTTGTATGGCTCCTAACATGTTTGTATGGCTTGCCACAATCTCAAAATAAGAGGAAAACTTGTGAATTGATACAAAAGCTACACAGGCAGGTACAAATCCCATGGCTGGTGATGGGAGATTTCAACCTCATGGTGGATCACTTAGAGAAAAGTGGCAAGTGTAGCCCAGATGAAAAGGAGATGGAGATGTTTCATGACTGCCGAGAGAGTTGCAGATTGGTGGATTGTGGCTATTATGGAAGAACTTTCACATGAGAAAACAATAAGTCTGAGGACAACTATACGGGGGAAAGACTTGATAGAGCAATGGGAAACGAAGAGTAGATGGGCTTATATCCACATATGAGAGTGTACCATCAAGACATATGTGGATCTGACCACATACCTATTCAGTTAAAGCTTAGTTTGGAGGAATAGGAAATCACCTGGGGTTGGATGTTTCGATATGAACCATATTGGGAAAGGCATGATGACTGTGGGAAGGTGGTGAAAGAGGGCTGGATGGGAGCAGGTGCAAGTAACTTGATGGATCGAATCTAGAATGTGGAATCAAAACTAAAAGCTTGGACTACCACGGCTTTTGGGTCCCTAACTGAGAGAAGGAAGAAGACGGAGAAGGCCCTACGAGCTCTAGAAAGGAGAAAAAGGACGAAGACGGTTTTGCTTCAAAAAAAGGTGATCGAGCAAGAGCTGAATGAAATTATTCTCCAACAGGAGATCAAACGGAAACTATGCTTTAGAGCTTACTGGCTCAAGGAAGGCGACCAGAACACAGGATATTTCCATCGTAAAGCGTCCGAAAGAAGAAGGCGTAACACTATTAAAACACTGCAAAATGACAGGGGGAAACTTTTGTGGGACATCAAGGAGTTGACGATTGTCTGCTAGACTACATGAAGAGGCTTTTCATAGCAGGATGCAGGCCGGAGGTGAGTAAAATTGTACCAATTAGGGGTGTTCAAACGGTTTGGTTACCGTGGTAACCGTTTTAACCGGTACTATTTGGATAATTTGGTTTGGTTAATTTGGATAATTGGTTTGGTTTGGTTAAATTTTTTAGCTTGTTTGGTTTAGGTGGTTTGGTTTGATTTCAGACACTCCTAACCAGTCAAACCAAATTAACCAGTTAATTAATTAGTCATATATCTAACATATATTATATACACATACTTAATACTTTGCATAACAACTCAAGAGTTAACATTCATCCCTTTTAGACTCATATAAAATATAAAGCTCAATATTGCTCATATAGTGTATATTTGTATATATAAAGTGTAGACCACAACATATGAACGCCTAATTTAGATAAATTTCATACTTTATGATGGATGAAAACTTGAAAGGAAGGTCATTTCCAGCCTATGATAATTGCTAAGAGACTAAGTCAATTTACACAAACACAACAATTCATTAACTAATGAGGACATCAATGGGCCAGTCACAAGTGCAAAGGCAAGAACGTTGAAGGAGAAGCTTGCAACGTATTTGGAGAGCTACTTTGGAGCCATGGACGTGGAGTTGTTTCGAGGAAAACCATATATGATGATTCGAGTGGAGGAAGAAGGAGGAAGTGATGGAGAGAAGGCAGATTGCAAGAAGAAGCCTTAACGGGTTTGCTTAACGGGTCCAGCCTTAACGGGTTTGCTTAACGCGTTCAGGCTTAACGGATTTGCTGGGCTATTTTCGGGTTTCCTTATTTTAAAGTCGGTTTATGATTGTTTTTCCATGTTGGAGTCGGATTTGGGTTGTACTTTGCCTATTTAAAGGGCTGAACACGTTGGTTTTGCCCTTAGACGATTATTATTGAATTTCAGAGGCTATTGTCGAGTTCCCTATGTGGAATTTGCCCTAATTACTCTGTCGGGAATCTCCAGAGTGCTAGAGCGACTCTTATCAGCTAGGTATTCACCCTGGTTGTGGCGAGCTACCCATATCGATTGCCCTTTATTCCAAGTTGAATCTTTCCGATCGATTCATATATCGATTGCCCTTATTCACGGGTGAGTACTATCATATCGATTTCCATCCTATCCGGTTCTGTTTGGTTCGAGAAGCTTGTCCCTGCGCAACTTTGATTATATCAATTGGTATCAGAGCTAAGGTTCAAATCAGTGGCGTGTTCTTGAAGTTTTTTTGAAGATCTTGTGCTTTCTTGTTCGTGTTCTTGGTGGTTTTGTGCGAGTTCTTGAAGGTCTTGGCGTGTTCTTGAGCCACAAGACAGGAGGTCGTTTGTTCTTGGGAGTTCTTGGTGTTTCTTGCAAGGCAAGAAGCAGGTTGTGCGAGTTCTTGTTAAGTTCTTGTGTTCTTGGAGTTTTATTGCATCGCAAACATGGAAGCAGCACTCAAAGCGATCAGAAATCAATTGGAGAACATTGCTCGTGCTCAAGAAGAGCAAACAGCAAGGCTTGCCGAGCAAGTCACGAGGATGGAGGCTGTCGAGACAAGGCTCCAGCAGCCGGTTGTGGTTGATGCAAACCTTAACCCTAGACCTCGACAAGAAGAAAGGGGAAGGGAAAACCGAGCTCCTCCACCCTTGGTTCATGAAGTACAGCGTCATATGCGCCAACATAGACGCCTTGGGATGCATCGAGCTGAAAGGAGAGGGCGGCAGCAGCATCATGAAGAGGAGTTTAATGACGAGGAAGAAGAGGGCTTTGAGGAGGAGGAGGATTTGCGAAACCTCAAGGTCACGATTCCACCTTTTCACGGTACCATGAACCCTGATGCTTATTTGGATTGGGAGCGGAAGATGGAACTAGTGTTTGATTGTCATAACTACTCCGAGAAGAAGAAAGTGACATTGGCTGCCCTAGAGTTCTCGGATTATGCACTTGTTTGGTGGGATCAGTTGGTAACGAAACGAAGGAGAAACAGGCAGCGTCCTATTGAGACGTGGGATGAGATGAAAGGAATTATGAGGGATCGGTTTGTACCGAGTTCCCATTTGCGAGATATGTATCAAAACCTCCAGCTTCTCCGCGAGGCTACCATAGCTCATTTTCTGTATGGTCTCAATCGAGAGATCAAGAACGTGGTCGAGATACAACCGTTCCTTGAACTTGAAGATTTAGTGAATATGGCAAGTAAAGTGGAACGACAGCTTTGAAATAGGAGGTTTCAACCCTCCACGAATTCCACACGTTCGAGCCAAGGAGTTCAACCAACCCTAAGCTGCAACTGCCCGTGAAAGAAACTCCTAGACCCGCGGAAAGGGCTGATGGTGCAAATCCATTTATGAAGCAAGGTGGATCATCGGGGGAAATTCGTTGTTTCAAATGCCATGGAAGAGGACACATTGCGAGCCAGTGTGCCAATAAGAAGACCCTGATCTAGCTTGATAATGGCGAGTATGTATCGGAGGAAGAGGAAGAGACCACCGATTCTGATGTCATTGAGTCTATGGAAATGGAACCACCTCCAGGCAGTTTGTTTGT